TGTTTATTCTTTCCCTCCTCTCTTTATTTTGTTATTTCTGCAGTGCCAATGGCAAGCTTTGTTGGGCCATGCTGCAGAAGCTCTTTGTAGAGTGTTAGGGATCTGTTTTCCTTGAGTTTCCTAAACAGAAGCACTTTAATAGCTAATGATAAAAACTACCAGTTTTAGATGCCCATTTTATGCCAGGTACTTTGTGCACAGCTCTAATGTTGTTAACAATCCATAAGGTTGATGGTGTTCTCATTTTGTGTACAAGGAAAACAGGCTTCAAGATTGAATGACTTTCTCAGGATAACCAAATCTGTTGAAGTGGAGCTGGAGTTCAAACCTAATATTTTGTACTTGACAGCTAATTGCCAGCATATTTGAGGAGGATCCCTACAATGTACTCAGCTGGGAGCAGACTTCTCCCACCCCATAATTTATATTTGTCTTGTAAGTGGACTTGATAGTATGAGAAGTTCAGAAATTAATTCATAATTTAAAATATGGAATTAAAGTTTGGACCATGTTTCTTCCAATAGTTTCTCTCTCTCCTTCCCCTCTATAAATCCTCTAGAGTAACTGCCTTCAGAAATTCAGTAAAATTTTCAAAATTTCCCTTTTTAGAAAAAGATTGGGATTTTTATTTTCCTTTCTTGTTACCAGGAAATTGAATGAAAGGAAAAACGCCATGGAACTAATTGAAAATCCTGCTATTGTTCTTCCTACTGCAGCTTCTGTTTTTATGCAGAAAGTTAGATTGTGGTTATTATATCAAATTGGATACAGTTTCCCATCCCCGTGTCTTTGCAGTGTAATTGTAGACATTGTTAATAACCCTGCAGTCTTTATGTACAAAGGCAGTCATAAGACTAATGGCCCTCTTGCAAATAGTCGTGTCTCTAGAGCTAATTTATGATAGTAAGAGGTTTGGGGTAGGCATATGGGGTGATTTGTTTTATTATTGAGTCTGTATTATGTAACTTTTTAAAAAATGCTGATATCCCCCTCAGGTGCTTTATCAGAAAGGTTATAGGAATTAAAAAATAATCTTGAGAGCCACTTGAGCCTAATGGAAAACATTAATGTGAGACAGTAGGCCAACCTGGTATGGTTGATTTCCAGACAGTAGGGTGAGGTACTTTATTCTTGATCAGTAGTAATGCTTCCAATGTGCTCTTAAGTTTAATAAAGACTAATCCAGGAAACCCTGAGTTCCCCACTCATCTTTTAACCCTCAGGTTTTCTTTTGAAAAAGAAGCCTCTAATCATACCAAACAAATTCCAGATTTATGGCATATTTTACTTAAGATGATTCATAGTCTCTTCTTCAGATTTTGAATTCATATCTGAAGGGAAAACATTGGATTAACAATTGGACAGTTTCTGAGATATCTCTTTCATGGCTATTTCTGACATTCTTCCTTCTCTGTTACACAGTTTGATTTTTGTTGTACACAGAGCTGACAGTAGCTCACACATCCATCCATTCATCTGCTAACAAACTCTGCTAATGCAGCAGAAAGAGATAATCGTACTGGTGTTGCCAAGCACAACACCCCCACATGCACACACCAATCACGCCTTGTTCTGTTTCTCTCCCTGTAGTTCGCCCTCATCCCATTCTGCCTCAGTAAACAGTCATTTTAGCAATTCCAGACAAATTTCTGTGCAGATACTTTACTTTGGCACTTCACAGTTTTGGGTAAGGTAACATTGCTTCACCATGGCTTTTTGCCGTGTGAATGATGTTTACTTTTAGTGGTATTGTGACTCCCTTTCTGATTCAAGGGTTCAGGTTTCTCATCTTTGCATAGGCTTGAGGAAGGAAAGTGATAAGAAAGGAAAAGGACTGGTTAAATGGGTACGGCAGTGGATATTCTGTTTTACATAGTGTAATCTCTCTTCTAAGGCACTGTGAATTTAAGGTTTGAAAGCATAATTCAATTTGGATCTCAGATTACTTACATCATCATCATTGAATTGTGAAATTTTGGTCTTTATTGACATTTATTCAAATCTACCGCAAAGGACTTCCAGAAGTTTACAGATTAGCTTAATTTTGGATAAATGGTACAATGCTATATATTGATTCTATTGACGAACCACAGCATTTCTTCTTTAAAGCAGTTCTCCTGACTGACATACATATCACTCCATCCATCCATCGTTCATCCATCCACCATCAGTTTATTTGGAAATTAAGTGAGGCTATGTATGATGTTTCAGGTGATAATGTTAAAGAATTTAGGAGGCCCCTTCTAGATTTTATTTATTTATTTATTTGTTTGTTTGTTTGTTTGTTTATTTATTTATTTATTCAGAGACAGGGTCTGTGTCTCCCAGGCTGGAGTCCAGTGGCATGATCTTGGCTCATGGCAACCTCCGCCTCCCAGGTTTAAGCGATTCTCCTGCCTCAGGCTCCCTAGTAGCTGGGACTACAGATGCCTGGCTAATTTTTGTTTTTAGTACAGACAGAGTCTCGCTGTGTTGGCCAGTCTGGTCTCGAACTCCTGGCCTCAAGCGATCTGCCTGCCTTGGCCTCCCAAAGTGCTGGGATTACAATGTGAGTCATCACACCTGGCCTAAGTCCTTCTTAATTGCCATCTCCTTTGTGAAATCTTCCTGCTTTTGCCCACATATGGAATGTACCACTCCTCTCCCCAAATTGCACTGTATTTAGATATTTAGATATTTTAGATAGGAAAGTTCTTGTAGAAGTCCTCTCATTTTGACTTACGTTGCAGTTTTCTGCATCTTGTTTGATTCTCTGTTATGGACCTTAAATCTCTGAGGAATTGAGACTCCTTACTTTACTCATCTTCACCTTCTGATCATAGTGCCTGGACTTGATGGATGTCTAGCTTTTAGCTCTTGAACAAAACTGAGTCAGATGTTAGAGAATATTTTAAAGGAAACATTTTCTGCTAGAAAAATAGACAAACCTTACTAAAGGAATCATTTGGCTTGTTTCTGCTAACATTGATGTCTGTGTAGTTAGGCTGGCTGCCCCTCAAAAAAATATTGCTTTTTCCCCCTAATTCTCTTTCATATATTAAATGTATAAATACCACGTATATATTATTATAAAGTGTGCATGCGTATGCACATGCTCGCGCTTGCACACACACACCAAGCAGAGGATGTTTCGGCTTCCTACAGCCTTTAGAAGGAATTCGACTTGGAAGGCAGTGGGACTATCGTGTGGATTCAGTGTTCATGTGAAGACTTATCTTCATGGTTCATGAACCAATTATTCTTGCTTAAAAGTCATACTAGCCCATCATTCCAAGTGTTAGGCTCCTCTCAGGCAGGGACTTAGCTCTTAGCCTTCTTCCTCTTCAAACACATTGCCCTATTGATAGGCAATGTGATACAAAACCCTTGCCTCCTGTTATAATAGACCATGTCCTTTGGCATCAGCCTTGACTCTGAATAGTGAATTCTGCACCTTAATATCTGTGTAACATGGGGCAAGTTACTTCTTTAAGTCTCAGTTTCTAATCATAAATTGAGGACAATACATGCCTTGTAAAATTGTTGTGCAGAGAAATGACTCAGATGCCTGATGTGTACTAGGTACTTGCTTGGCAAATACTTCCTACCATCCTAGAAGTACACAGCAGTGAGAGATTTCTTTTGCCACAGGATGAAGGGCTTAAGGAGGCCCTTGGGAAAAAAGCATGTGGAAAATCAACTTATTTATTATTCTGATAACATGGAAAAAACATTGTCTCTTTCAAAGACAGCAGAAAGCTTAGTTTGTTCCAAGTCTGAAACCTCTGTTGGCCTGTGCCCATGGTATGGAAATTCAGTCTCAGGGACCATATAAAGGGTTTCTCTACATGCCCTTAGCTGTAGAAGAGTGGCCTGAATGTTAGAGATTCAGGGAAGTGGCATATGCATGGGTGCCCGTGATTAATCAGGCAGAGCACGAAGTGGTATCACCCAAACAAAAACATGAACTGTACTTTCTTTCCTTTTTTGTCATCAGAAAGATAATGGAAGAAGGATGATGATAGGAGCATAGTTCTGGCTATTTGAGATCAGTGTGTGAAAACAGGGGAAATACAATACGCGTTGTGATGAGTATATTCTGAATATTGGAAATATTTAATTCTGTGAGGCTAAAAATTCAAAAGAAAGCCCAATCCTCCAAGAAGGTCTTACCCGTAGACATGTGGTGTTAAATCTTGCTGACCTGACTTCAGCTGAGCTCTTTGGAGTGGCATGCAGTTTTCTGCCTCCAATCACCACTCCTGAGGTGCCTGCCAGTCTGTACACTGGGCACCATGGAGTCCTTGGCATGTTTGCGTTTCCTGAACTGGGCTCCCAGCCACAGCATTGCATTATCCTCATGCAAACCAGGTAATTTCATTGAAGTCCTCATTACATTAGTGGCTGAGATGGGAAAGAATGTGTATCTGAGAACAAAAATCAATATTTATTTTTTAGGCCTTGGATTGCTCATAGTAGTAAAATAAAATCAAGTAATTGTGTACTTTTCCAAGTGCTTCATCATGTGAGCCTTTGTATTGTGATAATAAAGCAAGTGCTAGTGAATCTGTAAAATTCTTCCTATGTAACTTGTATGAGTGATATTTTTTTCCTGTTATGTTTTCAGATCTAATTTAGTTCAGTAGCTATTGGACTTTCCATCGTATGCTAGGCCTTGCCGGTCCTTCAGCTTTCATTCTTAAATCTGTTTAAACTGAATAGCCCTTGTTGATATTCAGAGCCTGTTCAGTTCCAGATACCATATTATAGGCATGGTGAAAGCTGGGATACAGAGTTTTTTGTTCTTTGTTAAGGGAACTCATATTTGTAAATAATGTTAAAAGCTGAAAATGGAGTTTTAAGAAGTTTGGAAAAATGCTGTCAGAGCTTAAGAGGAAGGAGGGGTGTTTTTTAGGAGGAGAAATTTGTATGTCATGAAATAAGAGCTAAGAGGATTCACCAGCGTCGTTTCAGCAGTGAGGCTCTAATACTGTTTTCTTTGCTGCCTGTGTTTTCTTTAGGTCATGATTGCTGTGAGACAGTGAAGGTGCAGCTCTGTGCTTCCAAAGAGGGCCTTCCCGTGTTTGTGGTGGCTGAAGAAGACTTTCATTTCATCCAGGATGAAGCGTATGATGCAGCTCAATTCCTGGCAACCAGTGCTGGAAATCAGCAGGCTCTGAACTTTACCCGTTTTCTTGACCAGTCAGGACCCCCATCTGGGGATGTGAATTCCCTCGATAAGAAGGTAGTGCTGGCATTCAGGCACCTGAAGCTGCCCGCGGAGTGGAATGTGTTGGGGACAGATCAGAGTTTGCATGGTGAGAATTTATATGATCTACAAACAAACTTTAAGTTTGTGATATTTCTGTTTTTGTAATGGGGCCGCTTTTCTGTAGTCATCATATTCAGGTCTTCCACAGCGGCTGAGTAAATCTTAGAACTACTGTAGGAAGGTGGCCTCCATGGCATCCCTTCTAAGTTCTTCTGCTGAGCTGTTAAGCATGTTGTTGCAGCAAAATGACCCTAGGGACTACCCAAGGAGAGTGGCACATCACCTTCTTGTGGGTCTGGATTTCAGACATGATCTCTCAAGTATAGAAAGTGACACGTTCTTCGTGAGGAGAGCAGCAGAGTTACTGTTTGGTGTTTAATGATCAAAGACATGGTTTTCATTATTATATGCTGAAGTTCTCTAAGATAGCCTGGAAGTGAAGGGGAGGAAAGATTGGGCAGTGAGTGGGAGGAGCATGAGAACAGGGTGTGCTCTGAGAAACCACACACTTCCTTAACCAGGTTAGTGTCACTCTTACTGACTTATCTGTTGGCCCTCTCTATGAGAATTCACTAAAGAAAGGACTTTTCTTTTTTTTTTGAGATGGGCTTTTGCTGTTGTTGGCCAGGCTGGAGTGCAGTGGCGTGATCTCGGCTCACTGCCACCTCCACCTCCTGGGTTCAGGTGATTCTCCTGCCTCAGTCTCCCAAGTAGCTGGGATTACAGGCATGTGTGCCACCATACCCGGCTAATTTTGTTTGTTTGTTTTTTTTAGTAGGGACAGAGTTGCACCATGTTAGGCTGGCCTCGAACTCCTGACCTCAGGTAATCTACCTGCCTCAGCCTCCCAAAGTGCTGGGATTGTAGGCGTGAGCCACTGCACCCGGCCAGAACTCCACTTTTTCAAAAACATTTACATAGTAAGTCCTCTTACTCAAACAAGGGTTTTCCCACATAATTCTAGTAGCAAATGACATCTACTTGATGTTATAATTGTATAGATATTTTAAAGTGAAACATAATGTGTACCTGGAGTTCAGTAAGTAACATCCGGTTTCCCTTCTGAGTTCAATCGAACAATTTAGGAGTCCTGAGATAGAGATCAAAATGTTTACTTTATTACTGATGAAATCTAGATTGGAAGCCTGATGTTAGAGCTCCTGCCAGAAGGGTCTGCTTATACTTTCTCTGTCTTCAGTGAAAGAGCTGGTCAGTCACTCCACGGCCCTGTAGAGTCTACCCAGCCTTGAGTACTGAATTTTGTTGGGTGAGCACACCACAAGTCACCCTCTCCACAGGTGAGCAGTTCCTGAGGAGGAATACCTGCAGGGGCCTGAGCCATGGCATAGTTTCTACACTCAGACGAGTTTTGTCTTCTTCCACGGAAGAATGATAAAGAGGTCTTTGCCAGCTTTGATTCTCTTAAATCTACTAAATATAACAGTTAAGACTGTGATCAGCCATCTGAACAGTGTTCCATACTATCAGGTGCATACTGTCAGATACTACCTGGATAGTCCTGCCCAGGTAAAACTTGAAAGGAAGTATCAAATCAAGGAAGAAAGGATTTGTCCTTTTCTTCTTCTTTTTTTAAGTATAGTGTCCAAGAAACTTCTGTCTTGCTAATATTTAGAGATCAGAATATTTGACATTATATAAGGTGTGAGTGCCTCTTCAGAAACCTGGTGATGGCCTTAATACCTCTAGCTCCTTCCATTTCTGTATTGATACGGGAATGTGTATTCTGACTGCCTTTCACAAAGTGTCAAGATAGTACTGCGTTAGTTATTTGTGGGGCTTATGGTGTTTTATGGTTTTGTTTTGTCTTGTTTAAAGAGGGGTCCAGGAGTTGGATAGTTTTGTTTATGTTACCATGATTAAAAACAACTATTAGAAACAGCAAACATCTGAAACTTTGGACATATCACTTCCTCTCTCTATTTTTTTTTTTTTTTTTTTTTTTGGTATGGAGCCTTGCTCTGTCACCCAGGCTGGAGTGCAATGGTGCAGTCTCGGCTCACTGCAACCTCCACCTCTTGGGTTCAAGTGATTCTCCTGCCTTAGCCTCCCAAGTAGCTAGGAATACAGGCACATGCCGCCATGCCCTGCTACTTTTTTTTGTATTTTAGTAGAGACGGGGTTTCACCATGTTGCCCAGGCTGGTCTTGAACTCCTGAGCTCAGCAATCCACCCGCCTCAGCCTCACAAAGTACTAGGATTACAGGTGTGAGCCACTGCGCCTGGCCACTTCCTCTCTTTGGGCCTTAACTTCCTTGTCTTTAATAGGAGGGAATTGGCCAGCTTTAATATTTTTTGTACTGTCAGTGTACTGGTAAATTTTCTGTTGCACAAAATTGCTCAAGCAGTGCTAACAAAGGCCAAACCAAATTTGAACACTTAAGGAAGGAAATACATATTAAAACCACAATGAGATATCATTACACATTTATCATAACAGCTAAGATGAAGAATACCAAGTGCTGGCAAAGATGAAGAACATCTCTTATGTTGCTTGTAGGAATGCAAAATGTATAACCACTCTGGAAAAATCTGGCAGTTTCTTTTAAAGTTAAACATACACTTAGCATATGACCCAGTAATCCCACTTTTGGGTGTTTATCCTAGAGAAATGAAAATCTATAGTTACCAAAAAGTCTGTGCACAGATGTGCTCATAGTAGCATTATTCACAATCATAAAAAACTGGAAATAACCCAGATTTCCCTCACTGAGTGAATATAGAAGCAAACTGTAATATATCCATACAATGGAATACTACTCAGCAATAAAAAGAAGCAAACTGTTGATGTGTGCAACAACTTGGATGCATTTTAAATGCATTATGCTAGGAAAATGAAGTCAGTTTCCAAAGGTTCCATACTGTATGATTCTATTTATATGATATTCTGGAAAATGCAAAATTATAGAAAAAAATAACAGATCAGTAGTTGCTAGGGGCTGGGAGTAGGGGAAAAGTCTGACTGCAAAGAGGGATCATGAGGGAATTCTTCGGATTGTTGGAGTTGTTTTGCATCTTGTTCGTGGTGGTGGCTATAAGAATCTATGCATGTGTTAAAACTCATAGGAGTGTACACCCCCAAAGGTGAATTTTATTGTACATATATTTAAAATAATAGCAAAAGAAAGTGTGTAAGTTAGTTGTATATTTTGCATGGTGAAATGGATGCAAGTGACTTGATAGAACTGTCTTTAAGTCAACAACTGGGATCAGGAATCTGATTTTGTGTGCTCAATTCACATTCTGCAGTTTAAATTGTTCTATTAATTGTTGATTGGAATCTAGGAACACTGGGTACAGTAAGGGGAGAGTAGCATCAGTTAAGAGTTCATCGTGCCTGCTGTTGAGGGACGAATGTAATGGAATAGTCTGTTCACGTGAATGAGTTGAACATCAAATACTTTTAAATAGGTATTTAAAGGAGAAAGGTACAAAGTAACCATGATGCCTGAGGTAATACAGATAAATAAGAAACCTTGTTATGTAACAGGACTTCTTGCTGTTGAAAGCTAGGATGTTTACAGGTATGCTAGCCTAATACTTATACAAAATAGTATGTAAGAATTATGGCTAATCCTCCTTCTGTTATAATTGTTCAGTTGCAGTGCTTTTTAGCTTTCTTCAGGTCAGTGACTTCTTTGGAAATTGCTCAGATTTCTCCTCAGAAAAAAATGTTTATAGTTGCCTACCTGCACACATTTACATATGACAAATTTCTTAAGTCTCCCTGAACTTCAGGCATGAGCATGAAGTTAAGAATTCTGGGTTTAACTTTGCTCTTGCAAAGTGGGGAAAGCAGGGGCATTGGAGTCAGTCTGTTTGCATCCTGGCTTCATTGCAAGAGTTTGTGCAAAATACTTAATCTCTCTGTTACTTAATTTCCTCAATCTGTGAAATGGAGGAAAGTGTATTCTGATAATGTGTGCTAGTTTGTGAGCTATGCATTTTGAATGTACCCTTTAGAGACAAAAAAACATTGATGTTATGCTTGTTACAAAAATTAATCTTCACCTTAAATATGAACAGGAGGGAATTTGTTCATTTGAATCTTCCAAATGTTCTCTCATCCCTAGTTATATAAACAAGCTTCTGCGTTGTACTGTTTGCCACAGTTCTGCCTTAAATGCAGGTGATAAGGATTCATCTGGGTGCAGTGTGAGTGGTGGGGCAAGGACATTTTTTCCTCTGCATTTTTCAAGTCTCACTTAGTTTCTCAGCTTGGTGGTTAGTGAAAATGGTAAATTAGGAGGGTGTTTTCCCTGAGAGACCCTTGTGCAGTAGCAATCAGCATAACTCCCAAATAATGTCGGGTGGGCCCACTGCAGACTTGCTCTAGAGGAAGCAGGGAGAAATGTCCTGGGGGAAATCTTCATTCTTATTTACTCATGATATTGTATAACCAAGTGAAAAAAAGATATGATCATCTTTGGGGGCAAGAATTCTCCCCTCAAAGAGAAATTTGGGTGGAGAGGTGGAAGACAGGTTTAGGAAAAACTACAGTAAGAACAACCTGTGTAGAATTCCCAATTCTATGTATCTGATGTTGGTTAATAGGTCGCCCACCATAATCTTTTGATGATTCAGTTCCCACCCACCTTCAGAGTGTTTGATAGCTTTTCATAAAAATTTTTTCTTGGCTACATTAGTGTTTGTGTATTTTTTCAGCTATTATCACTGCTGAAAAGAAAATAACATATTTTAAAACTGCTAGTGATTTTTTTTTCCTTGGCAGAAGATTAGTATTTATTGATCCCAAGACTAGTAGTGGCAGGAGTTGAATTCCAAAAGGTTTTGTTGCCTCTCAAACCTTGTTTTTGTTACGAGGTTACAAGTCTCATTTTTCCACAACCGCATTTTCTCACAGTGGCCTGTTCTCCTTCCTTTCACATGCAGCTGAGAATTCCTGCGTCATGTGGACTTTCGGTTTTTTAAGAGGTAGTCCAGAATAGTACAAAGAATGGTGATTTTGGAATCATAGGTATAGATTCGAAGAGTACTGTGAGCAGGGCTTGCTGGGTGGATTGATGGGGTAGAAAAGTGGTCCTTAATTATTGTACTGATCTCAGAACTTAGAACATTTTACTTAGAGAATCTGACCATTTATAAAAGACACAACTCTCTAGCAGGCTTATCATGCTTGAATACCTACTAGGCACATCGACTTTTTTGTAGATCTGAGGGAAGGTGTGTGACAGGTGTGTCTAGCATATAAATAAATAGAAAGCAGGACATGAGACATTTTCTACCTTCCTTCTCTGTGGATAGAAGCGAAGCCTACAGACATCTTTCCACTTAAGTATGGTTAAACAGGATAGCCAGCCAACATGGGGTCTATGAAATAACATTACAGCATAAAGAAAAGGGTAAAGTATCATAAGTATTCAGATGGAAGATTTTCCGAGTATGCTTTCTGTAAGAAACAAAAAAATTTAGATGATATTTCCCATTTGTCCTTTAAAGAACTCAATAAAATCAGATTTGTTATTAAATTAGAAAAGGAGACAGCAAGGAGAAAAGTAGGTTTTGTGAGTATATCAGTCAGTATTCAAGTAGAGAAGCAGAACCACTAAGAGAAATAATATGTTAAGATTTATTATAAGGAATGGTGCCTTAGATTGTGAGGCCTGGCTAATAAGTCCAAAATTTGTAGGGCAGGATGGGGAAGGAAGATCATGGGCAAAGTCAGCCCACCAACATGGGCCAAAATATCATGTGAGGAAGGGGAGATTGTGGGTGAGATGGAGCTCCACAGGCACAGGCTAGTGCTGTCCTCCACAGGTGGGATGGAATCCCTTCTCTCCAGGGGAAACCTAAACCCTGCTTTTAAAGCCTTCCAGTTGATACAGTCAGGCCTACCCAGATAATCCAGGATAACCTCCCTTATTAGATCAACTGGTTAGGGGCTTTAATTACATCTGCAACAAAGCTATTGTTATGACGACAAGGATGGAAGGGGAGTGAGTTGGCAAAAATGATGCAGACATCCAGAATCCTAAAGCACAGTTAATTCACACTGGGGACAAAGGACCCAATTGATACTGTAGGAAAGGCCATTAGTGATCTAAAAAAACAAAGTTGAATAACTCAGAATACAGAGGAGTACTGATGTAGAGAAAAGAGAACAGAGATTGATCCTAAATTATTGAGCTCTACAGTCTAAATACAAAAGGAAGAAAGCAGTGATGGAAGCTTTCATGCTCTTAAAACAACACAGACTAAAGGAAACTACATTCATATATTCATTTGTTTATCCCTTTGCACCTTGGCCTCTTCTACAAACCTAATTCACGTGACCCCTGAATCAAAAATGTGTGAGGAATTAATGGGAGAATACCTAAAACTGAGGGTATATGCATGCAGTGGACTACTCAGCAATGAAAGGAAATGTACTACTGCTATGTGCAGCAGTGTAGATGAGTCTCAAACATGCTCATCAAAGAAGCCTTACACAAGAGTATATATTCTATGATTTCATCTATATGGAGTTGTAGGACAGGCAAAACTAACGTAGGTGAAAAATTCAGAACAGTGGTTAACTCTAGGAATAAGGAGGAGAGGAATAACTGGAAAGTGGCACAAAAGAACTTTTTCAGATGTTGGTAGTTTTCTTTATGTTGATACAGGTTTGGGTTCACATGTATATGCATTTGTCAAAATTAATCAAATGGATATACTGTACCATTTGCATTTCATTTTATATGTATAAATCACCTAAAATTGTAACTACATATTGAATGCTGGTTAATTATATGCACGCTGAAGTATTTTGGGGTGAAGTGGACTGATATCTTCAACTTATTTTGAAATGCATAAAAATAAGGTGAGTGGATGGGGAAATAGAAGGAAGAATGGTTGGATATATATAATAAAGCAAATATAGAAAAACATTAATTGTAGGATCTAGGTTGTTGAGTGAGTGTCTGGTTATTTGCTGTGTAATTCTTTGAACTATGTGTACGTTGGAAAAGTTAATAAAATGTTTGAGGAAAACATAAAAAGGTGCTTTTTAAATCACATTAGCTTAGCTTGCTTGTATGATTGCTTGATTTTGTCTTTGTGGTTTTATTTCCTAACAAAAAGAAACAGGGTGGAGTAATGGAAAAGATTTTTTTTTTTTTCTTTTTTTCAAGACAGAAGAACTTTCCATTTTAAATCTTGATTCTGACTCTGGGCAAGTTATTCTATGAATCTGCCTTCATTTGCACAGTGAAGATAACCAGGTCTCATAGGGTTACTGTGAAGATAGAATGGAAAAAGTTGACATAAACTGCCTAGTCCAGTGCATGGTGCATAGCAGGTCCTCACTACATTGTTTTCTCCTAATCTGTTATCCTCAGAAAGGGTCTACACAAAAGCAGATGTGGTACCAGTTGCTAAGACTTTAAGAAATTGAGAGAGGATGTAGTACAGAGGTCAGGGCATCAGCTTCTGAGCAGGCGCGTGGCCGTAGTATTGGGATTTCTACTCAAATGCTGAGCTGACTCAGAACAAATAACAAATCACAAGAGTGGTTGTGGGAGGATGGTAAAGAAACAACTGATTCAAGGTTGGAAATAACTAACCTCTAAAGAATCACGGATTTTCTAGTTAGTGCCTCATTAGCTCTTCTGTTTTTGATAAGGATGTCAGAACAACTGTAAGACACAAGTTAGATGGTGCTATTTGATCTTTTGTGAGGATTCTATTTGTCCTTTTGTCTGGCCTTGCTACCTGCTCAGAGGTGTTGATTATTAAAATTTGTACCTGCACATGTAGTTGTTGCTTCTGGGGCATAATCTTTCCAGCCACGTGCCTCTGGTTAAACACCCTATAAATCCTGAATTGGTCCGTGCATATACAGTTCTGTAGGGAAAATATACAATATGAAAAATTGTGCTTCCAAGGAAATTTAACTTGGAAATAGAGATACCAGACTAATACACAGATGACATTTGGAAACAGTATAATTCAGTGTAAAGTCACAGCTTCAAAAATCTGTTGATTCCTTTGTGATACTCATGTATAGAAGCATTTGAGGACTTCACAGTAAGGAGAAAACCACTGGGGTCCAAGAAGTCTGAGTGCTCAGTGAAGAAGTTTAGACCCGTGAGAAGCCATGAAGAATGAGAGATGATAGCTGAGGTGAGGCAGGCACAACTTCAGGGTGCCATTTCCAGCTCCCTGGAGTTGAGTGTAATACAGCCTTGTGGGGCCATATGTGGCATCCCTGCAAAGATCTTAGTTCCTGTCATCCTAGGTTGGGCACAGAGGACTGCTGAGGAAGAGAGTATTGCTAGTGAACCTTGAATGTAATTTGATGTCCCAAGAGGACAGTGAAGAGAGCAGGGAAACGGGAACTGGGATTTAATGAATATCTACTAAAGCCAGTCATAATACTAGCATTTCACCTACCTCTTCTCATTCGGTACAACTCTATGAGTGAGGTGTTGGTATCTCACTTTAGGGATGAAGAAAGTGAAGTTCAGAGATGTTACATGAATGGCACTTGGTCACACAGATGGTAAATGCCAGATTCGAACCCAGATTTGTCTAACTACAAGCCCTTATTCCATCACTTTCAGAGTGACTCACTTTACTAAGAGGGAGCCTTTATTTCAAGTGAAATAAACATTTTCCTTTCTGCAGTTATTAATGGATTGTCTTAAAGTCAGTCTTCCTTATTGTGCCAGAAGATGCATTTCTTCCTCTCATTAAACAAATAAACAAAGCTGGCAGTGCCAGAAATTTGATTTGCCCTTATTGTGGAGGAATAAAAAGACCCATGTGTACTGAACAAGCAGAACCTGTTTTTAGTGTTTAACTAGCCAACTCCTGTCTGGGTGTTCTTTTAAAAAGTAATTATACCATTTATGATACACCCATTTAAGTCCCAACAGCTATTCCCCCTTGGACCTCATGTTGTGGGGCTGCATTTGCTTCTGTTATTATTATTTGAGTAAAAGAATGTGTGTGGGGGTCACCTTTATATGCCTGCCTGTGAAATTGGTTGAACAAACACTGTATATTAAAAAGTCAGAATACAGAAATGGCCTGATGCTCTTTTGCAGGGCTGTGTTCAGTTGAAGATTTTGTGTCCTATACTTTCTCAGCTTTTGTAGCTTTGTTTTGCCTTTACTTGAGGGCTGATTCTATCTGGCCACAATAAAGCTGTTCACACTGTACATTGTAGCTTAACTTTACAGTCTTAGGCGCTTGGAGACAGTGGTGCTTACATAACTTGTCTTTATCTTTGTTTGCTTTTTGTTTTTATATTTTCCTCACTTATGTTCCTTTTCTTCCCCATTTACAGATGCTGGCCCGCAAGAGACATTGATGCATTTTGCTGTGCGACTGGGACTGCTGAGGTTGACGTGGTTCCTGTTGCAGAAGCCAGGTGGCCGCGGAGCTCTCAGCATCCACAACCAGGAAGGGGCGACGCCTGTGAGCTTGGCCTTGGAGCGAGGCTATCACAAGCTGCACCAGCTTCTAACGGAGTAAGTGCTCCTTCTCCTTATTTCCCTCCTCTCATCCCCAGCCCCACCCCCGATTCATAGGAGTACCACCCACTTGGCATCTCAGTGTGTGTTTGCCACAAATTAAAACCTCAACTCTGTACCTTGCCTTCTGCTGGGTGTTTGTAAGCTTGCTCCTGCTAACCACTTCATTGTCTGAGAGAGAAACGTAAGTCACGTTACCATTTTCTCTCTCCTCTACCTTCCTGCCTTCTTCAATTCGTATCTCTTACATTTTACTATTTTACTCGAAAGTCAGAATGAGCCTTGTCTGTGGAGGTAGCATAACATTACCAATGTATACAGTTTATCCTGCTTTAGTACAAGAGGAAACAGATTTCTTATATATTTTTTTCTGGTATATCTTTAAGACTTGAAAGAGTTAATTGGAAACTAGTACTTCCATATAATAATTGCATACAGAAAATATGGTAAACAGTTAAGTTTTGGATTGAATGTAATTTCTGTGAATAAAATTTGAGAACAGTGGTTTCTTCATATGAATGGCAATAAAAAGCAACTGAATTGTCCTGGAAATGTGCAGTAGGAAATCCTGTCTGTCTTTGGGCTCAATTATTGTATGTCCTGACTCTTTAAAGAGTTCTCTGGAGGAAGGTTGTTAATCAAAACATTTGAAGAGCGCTCTTTTTTTCCTGTATAAATAAAGAAACAAATGCACTAGAGCAGCCAAAAGTTTTTATTGGAATGTTTATATAAAGAAGTTTCAAGAATAGTTTCTGTTGTTTAGTATATTTTTTATTAGTTTTGTGGTTATCATCATTATCTTTTCCACCACATTATCTGAACAAGTATAAACCCCATTGGATCTATGTTCTTTAGCAATTGAGGGACCTGTGCAAATTGAGTCAGTATTAGCAAATTTTCAGATATTTTTCTCATGCCAGATTTAATTTGTGCTTTATGTTTTACCATTTTTAGCCGTGTATATAGTCTGGAAGGACCAAGAAGAGATCTCAGAATGTAATGCTACTTACGGTTATATAAACAGCTTTTTCTTGCTTCACTTGCCAAGCTTATAACTTTCCCCATCACGCTAAACAGACGGTTCTTTGCAGAAAGCTTTCTGATGGGTGCTCCAGATACAGTGGTGGTAGGAGGGGCACTTATCTCAAGTGAGCTTTGGATACCTGAGCTCTCCTAAGACAGTATTCCAGGGAGTGATACGTTCTACTCCTTCACACTCCCCATCTGGCCAATGATTGGATTCATTCTACTGTTAGCCTTATGGCTTCAGGAAGAGAGGCCTTGTTTCAGAAGTTGAAACAGTTAACTCCACATAACTATTGTGAAGTTCAAATGCATTTCCTCTAAATTTGATTTTTTGCTGGGAAGCAGAGTTGGTTAAGGACTGCCATCCAAATGGGGAAATAAAGTGATTACAACAGCTTCATTATATCCTTGGACGGGATGTCACAAGACTGTTATTGCAGCACAGCTTTAAGGAAACTAGAGTGTGTTTGTTCTTAGACTTTTTTTTTGCTTGCTTTAAAGTACTACTTCTGTTACATGTGGGAAAGCCACTTACCTCCTTTTGAAGGGAGACTGGTAAGGGAAAACCAACCTGAGAAATCTCCAAGTAGAGGACCCTGATAGGAGAGGATGAGCACCTTGCTGCAGATCTAGTTCTTTACTTGAATTCTGGGATGTTACAGTTCTGAAGCTTAGGAAAAGTGCTGAGTCATAATTAGCAATTAAAAAATGGAAAGGGGGCGATTGTCCTAAATCACACAGTCTGAGTGTGATTCTAGTAGAATTTGGTAGAATTTCAGTTGTTAAAGGATCAAGAATGATCATCATTTTGTTATTGGTTTTCTTTTCTCCTTTCCTTCCCCTTTCTTTTCCTATATACATAACATAAAAATGGTTAAAATCGTAAATTTTAGGTACAGCATTCAGTGGCATTCAGTACACTCACAACACTCACAAAGTTATGTAACCATCACCACTCTTATTTCCAGAACTTTGTCGTCACCCAAACAGAACTTCCTTTCCCCCAGCCCCTGATAACCTCTGTTCTCCTTTCTGTCTCTAAGAATTTGCCCATTCTGGGTACCTCATATAAGTGGAATCATGCAATGTTTGTCTTTCTGTGTCTGTCTTTCACGTAGCATAATGTCCTCAAGGTTCACCCGTGTTGTAACTTGTGTCAGAAAAATAATATATATTTCAAAATTGCTAAAAGAATATATTTGTTACCACAAAAACATAAATAGCTGAGATGATGGATATGTTACTTAGCTTGATTTTATCTTTCTATAGTATATACGTAGATTAAAACATCACATTGTACCCCATAAATAAATTTATATAATTGTTATTTGTCTGTTACCAAACACACACACACACACACACACACACACACACACACAGCCAAAAGTGGAAACAACCTAGATGTCCATCACAGATAAATGGACAAACAATGTGGTATATTCATATAACGGAATACTACAGCCTTAAAAAGAAAAGATCATCTTTAACAGATGAAACTGAGATCCAGAGAGACAAAGTGGTTGGATTGGGATAACAAGGTGGCAGGGCCGGAAATGGAAGCCAAAAGGCTGTCCAGAGCTCTTTCCTTCCCCTCCTGGGATTCTTAAAAAGTGGCCCAACAATAGATTTCATGGGGTCTGTATCTCTTGAAATTATAAACGTTTATGCACATGTTTTTCTGAATAAAGCATTTGTTGGTGAGATTCATGAAGGGGTTTGTAGAAATTTAAGAATTGCCACAGTGTATGATGCTGTCTTTCTAATAGTTTATTAACTTTTGACTTTGCGTATCTTCTTCCCCATCCTGCTTTTTAAAAATGAAATTGTCCACATATAAGCCTGCCTCTTTTATTGCCTCTTTTCAGTTAGTATGAAATTGAAGTATGGCTATGTACATTTTACATTTATTGAATAACTAGTTACATTCTACACTTTACTGAAAAGTCAAGCTTATTTAACCCCATTTGTAGCCCTTCCAAAGTACATTTGTTGTTTTAATTCTTTGGTGCTTTACCTTGTTTTTTGCTTTTTAATTATTAAGTGGGGAGTGGAGAGCCAGAGTATTGTGCTGGTTAGGGCCCAAGTTCTTTTTGTGTTTCTTTGTTCAAGGCTTATTTTGATTGCTAGTCTATTTTGATAAACCAAGTCTTACTTCTGTGAAAATTATGATTAGCCATTCTTGGACATGCAAGGATTTTCTAAGACCTATCCCTTTAGAAAACGCTTGAACTTTATATTAAATCGTACCAGATAGTAATAACTACTCAGGACATTTTTTACAGTTGCCCTTTTTTGTAACCCATGATTGTTAACTTTCGCTTAGTTCAGTGTTAGGGAAGGCAGAGCTTTTGTTGACTTGCTGTTTCGCCTTAGCTTATATTTAGATATTACATTATGAATATGAATGCATTTGTGATCTGAAAATTCATCTTAAATACATTGTATTTAAGTTTTGCCTTAAGTAAATGAAAGAATTCATGTAGGGAGCATAACTCAGTGATTGACATATATGTTATCTCTTATTTCCCTTTCTTTAATTTTCTGTCTTGCCTGAGAAATCTTAGCCCCAGAACAGTACCCAAAACATGTAGGCCTACTTCTCCTTTAGTTAGACAATCATCTCCTCTGATTTGAGGCCCCCACCCATCGTCACCTAACTAGTTAGTGATGAAGAGAATAGGTAAAGACCCCAGTTTGCAGGCTCTTGGTTTCATGATTGCTAGGAAGCGACAATAACAGATGAGCGTGGCATTGTAGTTATCTAAGAAGAAAATATTAGAGGCAGATGTTATTGGATCTGGCTGATCTCTTACATGTCACAAAGTAGAAATCTTGGGATGTGGATCACCCATGTTGGGGGTAAGAGGGAGCTTGAGAGTAAGAGGAGGCTCCAGGTAGTGACTAGGTGTGCAGACTTGGAAGTCAAACCTAGGTTTGCATTTTGACTCTGCCATTTGCAGCCTTTCCTCACTAAGCCTTGATTTCTTCATCTCATAAATAAAGGATAATACTGTCTACTTCCTGGATGATAACCCAGTCTCTAGTGTATGCAATATGAAAAATTAGGGCTTATTTGTCATACAGATTTTGGTTATTTTTGTGGAGCAAATAAAGGTGCTATAAATATTTCAGCTTGGAGAAAGATGGTAGTATAGTATGGTAGAATTGCTTACGGATTAAAAGCTTAATTAAAATCTAAGCCTGTCTACTTAGTAATTAGTGTGACTTGGAAAATGTCACCTATCCACTGAGTCTCATGTTTCCCCTCTCTAAAGGATAATACCTGTTCTGCCTACATCACAAGGTTATTTAAACTAAAGAAAGATTTGTGCAAATACTTTGTTAAACTCTAAGATACTCTGAACGTTTCTTATAATTATATATTAATAATAATAATGACATCAGTAAAATTAGAGTTAATTGATCAATGAAACTCAAATTCCAGTTGATTGGTCTACCAGATACCTTGTTTTGTAATATTTCTTGTAGTTCTCTGTGAATTAAAGTTAGTAGAGAGATTGGAGAATTGTGGTTAGACTGGCTGGTTTTGAATCCAGGGTCTACTTCTATGAAACTGCATTATTTATCTTGGGAAATTCACTTAACCTCTCCAAACCTCAGTGCATTTTTTTTTTTTTTTTTTTTTTTTGGTCTCACAAGAAGAAGAGGACTATCTTCAGTGGGTTGCTTTGAGAAATAAATCAAAGAATTCATGGTAGAGAGCATAATTCAGTGATTGACATAAATGTTACCCCCATTTCCTTTTCTTTAATTTTCTTTTCCTTCTAATGCCTATGTCAGTTTTTCATACCTTAGGGAAATTTTACCAGAATCTTGTAGTATTTTAAGCATCATTTGAATATCCCTAGTTGATATAAGTTGGAAATTATTCCCTAGTATAATAGATACTACTTTAAATAAAATCAGTTTGGCCCTCTGATACATGCTGTGATGTTGATGCCTGTAAATTA